GTTTTAGTTCTGGAGTATTTGGACTAAGTTTTAGTTTTGGAGTGTTTGGACAAAGTTTTAGTTCTGGAGTATTTTGCACCAAGTTTTTGATCTTGAGCTCGGCCCCCTCGGCCCACGGTACCTGCTGAGGTTTGTCACAGCAGTAGAAGCGGACGTCGTTGAGGCTGGAGTCGTCCAGGCCCCACTGGTACTCCTCCATCTTGGTCTCGATGCCGCAGATCCCTCCACTTTGGCATTGGCTGCTCCAGTATCCGTACTCCCCCCAGTCCGTGCCGGAGGCCTCCAGGACGGGGTTGCTGCTGCAGCGGAACTTGATGTTGTTGACGGCCGTGTCGTCGCCGAACGTACCCTGGTGGGGCTCCACGCGGATCTGGAAGGAGGTGAGGACCCCGCTGGGGCAGTACTGGGGATGGGACCACTCACCGAAGCTGGAAGGAGGAGAGTGAAGTCAGGAACTGAGACAACCAACAGTTTTATCTTCACCTCTGAACACGTGAGAAACACCACCGCCGCTGCACTGACGCCTCCATAAAGTTTCTAAAGGAGTCCGTGTTGGATAAAAATACCTTTGCATTATCTTACTCACTCGAAGGAGCCTCTCACGACGACAGAAGATTTTATTTAACCGAGTTTTACTGACAAGGACAGATGGTCCCAACAGGCTTACACAGATGCACAGTTCCATGTTTGAAACCCAGTCACAACAATCTGCACCGGACAGCGTGCGAGAAGTGTTTTTATAATATTGTACACGCTCATCAGCTCCTCCGAGCTCACAAACTCAGAGGCGACCTCGGAGTACCAGCTGCACACGCAGTATCAAAGTACAACTTCTATAACTAACTAGTTATAGTTGACTTCAGGAATCGCCTTCTGATAAGAGCTTGTTTTTACTTTTTAGTTGACATGACTGAGAACAACAGAAGCCTTTTCTCTCCTCTCCCACATTCAAATAATTGAAACAAGCATTTCATGACAGAATGCATATTACCCGCCACCCCTCCCTGCAAATACTTGGAGATCGTTTAAACTCTGTTAGAACTCAGAGCAACGAGGAAGACTTTCAGCTACGAGAACACCAACGTTCATCTGTAAACCTGGCTGGCTCAAAGCCGCTTATGTGTTTGCTATGGTAAGTTAGCTGTGGCGGCCATCTTGAATCGGGTTGATTCCAGCAGTTAGTAGATGATTACTTTCTGTAGGTTTCATTAAATTCATCCAGTGATGGATGAAAAGGAACCGTCTGTTCAACATCATAAACTGAAACAACTCCATCCTTTAATGTTCAGTCAGGTCATCCGGACAGTTTTTTTTTTTCGTTGAGAGACGTTTCGCCCGTCATCCAAAGGACTTCATCAGTCTCTCAACAAAAAAAGAAACTGTCCGGATGACCTGACTGAACATCGTTGGATTTTTTTTACCTGGATTATTGAGCATGAACTTTGATGAACTCCATCCTTTAATTCTACTTCTTTTCCACCAGATGTTTTTAATTTCATCTCTGCTATTAATCTAAATTACTACAAGACAGGGTGGGACGGTAGAGCATTGTTTAGAGCTGTCCCCTCACCGAGAAGGTCGCAGGTTCGCATCCCGACTTTCCTGGGTGGCGTTTACATGATCTCCCCGTGCACCTGTGGGTTTTCTCCAGGTACTTTCCTCCCGCAGACATGCATGCTAGGCTAAGGAGCTCTTAATTGTCCCTGGCTGTGAGTGAGGGTGTGTATGGTTGGCTGTGTCGATGTGTCCTCTCGTCTCGCACGATGACCCCAATGCAGCAGCAAGACAACTCTTCCTGTGGTTTGTTTACCTCACGTCTAACGAAGGAAACAACCAGAGGAAACGGGCGAGACGAGCACCACGCCTGCAAATAAAATCTGATTTTCATTAACTTATTGAATTTTAGTCACATCAGGAGTTGATGCACTCGCTGCTCATCTGGATCCACCACGAAAAACTAAACAGCACCAACGACTGTCTTTATATTTTACCTTTTTTTAAAGTAATTGATAATATCTTTGTGAGTGCAGACAATCTTTAAGATCCAGTCCTTCAATATATGCAGACTTAACTGTTTAAAAATATTAACAAACTTCACAAATTAAAATCAAACAAATGCTCATTTGACCACAGGGAAAAGTGTAGAGCTGTTCGTTTAAAGAATCAAAGTATCTGACTTAATGGTTAATTCAAAAAGAATAAAGTTATTCAAGGATATTATATATACTGTTATATTTTACTGCCAGCTGCAAACAGCTGTTTTTAGTGTTGTAGACTTGTTTGGTTTTAAAATCTGACTTTGTTTTAACGTCTCGACTGAATGAAGCCTGAAGGAAGATCGAGCTGCTCACTGGCCAGTGTGGGACTCCACGTAGTACAGGAAGTTTCTGTTCCCATCTTTGGCGCAGAAGAGGCGGATTCCGTTCAGGGCGGTGTCGTCCGCCCCATACTGGTTCGTCTCCACCTGAGGAAACACAGACCAGTTCCCAGAACTGGTTTGGTTATCTGGTTTCTGAAGCACAGGTGGTTTTACAGGTTCAACATCATCTGAACATACAAACAGGAAATACATTTGTCCAAAGCTAAGATTATTTATTTATTAACCTTTATTTAACCAGGTTAATCCCACTGAGATCACACACAAGGGCGGTCTGGGCCTGAAGGCAGACTAACACGCATGTTTTTGGTCTGTGGGAGGAAACCAGAGTCCCCAGAGAAAACACACGCAAGCACGAGAAGAACATGCAAACTCCACACAGAACGACCCCAGGTCCAACCGGAGATTGAACCCAGGACCTTCTTGCTGTGAGGCAACAGTGCCAACCACTGATCCATCGTGCTGTCAGTTAATTAATAAAATGGTTTGTGGTTTTAACAGACCAAACTAGTTCAGGTGTTTGTGTTGCGACCTGCTGTAGTTTTTGCTCTGGGCAGGTTTTTATGCAGTTTTTAGGTTTTGCCTCCTGGATTCTCACTGAGATCAAACGAAAAACCTCTCGGTGACTAAAATAAAGTTCGAGGCACTGAAACTGGTTTATTAATCAGTTTAAATGGCAATAATCTTCTCCTCAATAAAACACCATCCTTCAGAATAAAAGCCTCTCGTTAGATATGTACTTTTTTTTTAATTACAGGAAACACCACGTGCACTTCCTGTGAGGTAAAACACGTTTTCACATGTTACATAAACGTGGGAAACGTGAACGCTTTCAACACGTGATCACATGCTAAACTCACGCCTTTTTTTCCCTATAAGGTTGTTTTAAACTGAAAGGGTGGCAAACTCAGTTACAGAAAATGGTCAAAATTTAAACCTTTTTTCAAACCAAGTGCTAATTTCAGTGAATCCATTAACTCCAGTCAGAAACCTGACACGTTTTCTTGGCTGCAGGTTCCTCAACACGAGTTTCTTCTGCCTCGTTTGGCACTTTTACTGCACCAAAATAAAAGATTACGAAAAAATTCAAATCTATTTTTCTTGGTTAACCAACTGTCATGTGCGCACTACATAAAGTATGCTCAGTTTAAAAGTAAAATGAGAAGAAATAAAAGTATTTAACTTTTAAAATATCATATTTGGGGGCCAGATTAGATGTTAGCCCGGCCCGTATTTGGCCCCCGAGCCTTGAGTTTGATTCATGTGTTTTAAAGGAAACAGCTCGTCACGAGTCTGTTTGATCAAGAAAAGAAGCAAAAACGCATTAAATAAAATTAATCCGTTTATCTGTTTACAGTCGAGCCTTAAAGAAGTCGTCTTCAGGGATCTTTCATCGCTGAAGTTTATTTTTCTGAATTTGTCGTATTAAAATAAAAAGTGCTGTTACCCTGACACTGAATCCAACAGCAAAGAAGTGATCGGGGCACATCTCAGGCCAGGTCCAGTTTCCAAACCTCTCTCCGTTGGTCACGGTCATCTCAGATCTGACCTTCCTGCTGTTGAAGGCCTTCCCGGCTCGCTGCAGAAACTGCTTCTCCTCACAGAAGCTGCCGGACACCACGGCCAGCAGGGCCACCACGGTCAACAGGCTCGCCATGGGGACAGCAGAGGGTCTGGGTTTCACCGTACAACGCCGGGGTTCTGGATCGGAGCTCTTAAAGCTTCTGGTTCTGGTATCAGCGTGAACCATTTACAGAGTCGCAGGGCTGAGGGCGTGGGACTGAACATCTGGAGGGGGTTTCTGATACTCGGCTCTGCAGGTCTTATCACCAAATAAAAAAAAAACGCTCGTCACTCGAGCTGCAGCTGCAACTTGGTTTAAAACTGCTGACAGGACAGAAATGTTGGGCGAAGACACGCAGTCATCTGCAGAAAGATGCACGTTTTATTAATATTACACATTTATCAAACCTGGAGAGAAGGTTTCAGGGGTTTCGTGCTCTAAGTTTGGCCGACTTATCACGCCTGGTCCATTTTTTTTGTCTGTTAGCAAAATAACTCAAGAACCACTGAACAGATTTGAATGAAACTCTCAGGAAATAATCCTTGAATGCACTTTTACACCTTCTTCAGCTTATCCGTTGTCGAGTCGCAAGGAGAGAAACCGAGTCCTCCGTCTCCCCAGTAACACTCTCCTGCTCCTCCTGGGGGGTCCCAAGGCGTTCCCAGGCCAGAGAGGACTTAGAATCTCCCTGAGAGTTCTGGGTCGGACCTGTGGCCTTGTGTCCAAGAGGAGTCCTCATCAGATGAACCGCCTCAGCTGCCTCCTTTTGCTCCCCCAGATGACAGAGCTCCTCAGCATCTCTCTAAGACTGAGCCAACGCACCCTGCGAAGGAAACTCATTTCAGCTGCTTGGATCCAGGATCTTGGGCTTTTGGTTGTGATCCAAACCTCATGGCCACTGGAACGTAATGCCTTTTGACTCAAGTATTCTTCACCACGGCAGACCAAAGCATCAACCTCATTACTGAAGACGAGGCCCCAATCCATTGATCCAGCTCCGTCCTACCACCACTCAGGAACAAGACGCCCAGATCCTTGAACTGAGGAGAGCTTCTTTTTACAACCAACACTTGTTAAACGACTCGGTGTAAACTTTACGCGTGTCGTCTCCGTTTCAAATCCTCGTTTCCAGGGAAACGCTTGAAAATGTGAAAAACAGCTGGTGTGTAAACATTTGACTTTACTTTTGTTTTTAAACATCATTTGCAGAGAAAGAAGAAAAGTCTATCTAGAACCAAAGTTTTATTTTTAGTCTGTTGTGATGAAGAAATAATTTAATCTGTTGATGTTTTGATCTTTACGTGAACCTAAAATACAAAGAAGTGATGAGTCATGCAAAAACACGGTTGTTCTAAAGTGACGAGTCAGGGAGTGAAGTTGATCAAATCAAGTCAGTTCCACCAAGAATTTCCTGGTAAAACAGCAGCATGTCACCTTCCCACGGAGCCGTCAGCCCACAGCGAGGCGAGCCCTTTTCTTCCTGTCTCAGCGTTTCTCGGCTCGCCTGTTCAACTTCAATAATCGATCTCGTTTTGGATGATGTCATCAGAAAACAACGTTCACTTGATCACAAGTAAACGTCTCAGAGTCAAAAGCACTCCAGTGAGGTCAGAAAACTTTGTGTTTAAGATACATAATCTGAAGTTGCACAAGCCCTTTTTTTTTTTTTTTTAAAAATGCTTCTTTTAACTATGTAACTTTGTCTGTTAGCATAATATCTCAAAAACCACTGGATGGATTTTAATAAAACTTTAGGAAATGTATCAAATTTATGACACAAACTGTATAATAGGTGTGAGACTTCCCATCTGTTCATTCTCATCTCATCTTTTCTAATCATCACTTAAACATCCCATAATGAGGAGGTGCGTTCTGATCATTTCAAGATATTATCAGATGCACAATCACCATTTTGAGATGATATCTCATGTTTGTTCTGTTTATTCTTCACAAATTCAAATTGCTGATCGTAATCCTCCAGTTGTTCTTTAACTTCATGACAGAAACTGTCGGTGGAGAATAAATTAGTTTGCATCACGGCTGAAAAACATAATTAATGGTCAATCCTTTAAAAAGATCTGAGCCTGAAATAAAGGGGTTTTGGGGCTATTGTTTATAAAACCCCACAATTTTATTTTTGTCTACTAAATTTTTTATTTAAGGCATTTTTCCTCCTTTTGATGCTTAAATGAATTTTCTGACAATCTTTTCTTATTCTAGTCCAGAGATTTCAGAAGATCCCAAACCTAAAATAAAATGCCTACCCTGCCCATAAAATAAAAAAATAAAAATATGTATATACATCTATACGTATATATATATATGATCCCTCAAACCCTGATGGACAAACTATCCACACTAGGACTAAGCCCCTCTATTTGCAACTGGGTACTAGACTTCTTCACAAACAGACCACAGTCAGTGAGGATCCACAAATTCTCCTCCTCCACCATAACCCTCAGCACTGGCTCCCCTCAGGGATGTGTGTTGAGCCCCGTCCTGTTTACTCTGCTCATGTATGATTGTGCAGCTACCCATCCACGCTGTCACATTGTAAAGTGTGCAGATGATACAGCGGTGGTGGGATGCATATACATATATATACATATATATATATATATATATATATATACATATTTGTATATATGTATATACATATATATGTATATACATATACGTATATATGTATATACATATATGTATGTATATTTATATACACACACACACACACATATACATATATATATATACAGTGTATATATATATA